ATACGGTATATATATATATATATATATATATATATGAAAGTAAAGACATATTTCCCATCTACAAATGCACAAAGTGCTTTTCTTTGCTCCTTTTCTTTGTTTTTGTTTTTAAACAAAAATTAAATTGTCGCTACTTAAGCTAAAATTGAGTCAATTGCGGTATCAACAGGTGAGTTGTGCAGCATAGCCTTGTTTGTAACCCCGACAAGGCCTTTCTGACCGTCATCATTTCTACATGTCCCACCCCAAAAACCCCTGTTGGCATGGCATTGCCAACTCAAATTCCATCCATCAGGGTCTCAGTGTGGCCGCGTCCATCTCCGGTAGTCTAATACCCCATTTACACTACCCTTGAAAAACCATGCCGAGACCGGTCCGAGCTCAGTAACTGAGATAACTTATCGTGTGTAAATGGAAAGCAAACTGAACTGAACTGAGCAAGACACAACCGAACCGAGCGAACTGCAGACCAATTCCAGAGGTAGGCTCGGCTCGGTTTTTCTCTGGCTCGGTTCTCTGATAACAAGAGCACATGAGCAGAACGCGTCATCTCAGTCTGGCTGCACATCCCGATTCACACTCCATTCCAGTAGTTGGCGGCAATGCCCCTCCGGAAGTTGCTTGCCAACCACCACAAAACAGAAGAACAACTATAAACAACAATCTAAATCTTCTCCATGCAACATTTAAAATAATGGCTTCAAAAGACGGTGGTGCGACCTGGGATGACGCCGAGATTGAGGCCGTTAACATAACTTTCTGAATGTGACGGTCGCAGCCATTTTGATTTGCTTGATTCTCCTCCTCCTCCCTCCTCCCTCCTCCCTCCTCCTCATCCTCCTCCTCCTCCTTCTCCTTCTTCTTCTTCTTCTTGTGCTTTATGGCGGTTGGCAAACAACTTTTGGTGCATTACCACCACCAACTGCTTGATTTCCTCCTTCAGTACTGGCAGTAATACCGCAGATCGTCACTAGGAGGCAAGGAGTCGAGGAACTGAGATAGCGTGATGTGTAAACGGTCGTCAGAACCAAGTTTGGCCTGGTTAACTGATCGAGCTCGGACCGGTCTCGGCATGGATAGGTTTTTCAAGGGTAGTATAAATGGGGTATATGGACGACAGGCAGGGTAAACCCTGGACCGGTCACCATAAAGCCACACAGCCATGCACACACAAACATGTAAGTAGAATTTAGAGAAGCCAATTAACCTAAAAGTCATGTTTTTGGACTGTGGGAGGAAGTCAGGGTCCACGGAGAGAACCCACGCAATCACACTGAGAACATGCAAACTCCATGCAGAAAGAACCCGGGACCTTCTTGCTGCAACAGTGCTACAAACTGTGCCACCATGCAGGCCTGAACTCAAAGTTTAATGGGAAAAAAGCAATGCTGCACTGGTTTTATGTATAGGTTAGATGGAACACTTTCATATCTTCAGTGGGACCATATTATGGGAATTAACAGTAACTAAGACGCAATCAACATTTGACTCTCGATTAAAAAACAAAGAAAGTCTGTAATACCTTGTTACTTCAAGCCATTGTACTAAACCAGAAGCTGCCATCCACGTTTATCACAAACATCACACTGGAAGTATGAGCATCATCCAAAAAAAACTAAAATAAAAACCTGTCCAAACCAGATCTTTAACCAGCATCACATGCAAAGCTCACTGCAATGGTTCACTGCTCATTTGGAACCTGGGAAATATTTCACTGAGATGATCAGACATGCTTTCAACCAATTTTCAACTCTGACTTGTTTAGATTTCTGGCATAAAGGTCCCACACAACAAAAGAACAACTCAGGGTTGTCTTTATTTTTTCAGGCATATTCTTTTTTTTATGTTCTACAGATAAATAAATAAACTAATTGCATTGCAAAAGTATGCATACACCATCAGTGTCATATTTTTTTTTGTCATACATCACAACCAAAAACTGCTATTTGACAAAGGTACATAGAAAAAAAAATTGTGTAGAGAGTTAAGCCCCCTGTTAATACTTTAGGTGTGACGCATTGCAGATAGTAATTACACTTTGAATATTTATTCATGCCTTTATTAATATTAAATGTAATAATTTTTCCAAATATAGTAAATAAAAATGAATCTCTTGAATAGAAACTTACAAGACCCTACTAAAAACTGAATACAGATATGTGGTCTAAAATTAAATAATAATAAATAAAAATTAGTTGAAGATTGTTATTTTATAAAAGCCAGCTTTAATCTGACAGACAAACCTAATATAAACGCAGATTTATGTTTTTGGAACATGACTGTTCTCCTATTTGGACTCTGATTCTAACACATGTGATCTGATCAAAACCCCTCCGTTGGTTGGATGTATTTATTCTTTGCCTGCTGGGTGGCTTTGCCTTCTAAATAAGCACGTTTTAAGCAGGTCAGACATTTATTTTATGTGAAAATTTCATCAGCGTGCTGTTTACATGGAATTGTTTTGTTTTTTTTCCCCACCTTTGGTTTTTAATCTTTGGTCTTAACTCACCTGTTTCAGGTAAATGTGTCGTCTGGCTGAAGCTCCGCTGCAGCGCCGCCACGATTAAAACGCAGCAAAGCAAAAAACTTTTCATTTTCTGGCCCCCAAACACAACTGGAACCAGTCAGGACTTTAATTAGGACACCAGCCAGGTGAGATGATAACCATCGGATATGGACGCTGTTAGACCGCTTCCCATCTCTCGGTTCGCTGTCACAGACTGTCTTGTTTTTAATTGTTTAGCAGTTCAGTCAGATTTCCTACTTATGCTTTAAAGGCAGACGCTTCACTCCACCTCTTTCGCTCCTAATGACCAGAGTTCACCTTGAAGCCACGCCCACTCCTCCCCAAGCTGCAGGTCCAGGAAATAAAGCAGTATTGTTTTTTTTCCCGATGGGAGTAAATGATTCCCATATACGGAAGAGGGTTATTAGGGCCACTGAAAAAAAGAAAAAAGTAAACTGATTTTAAAATTTTATTTCAGTTTAGTATGTGAAAAAAAAATCAGAATTCTGACTGTAATCTCAGAATTCTGATTTTTTACTCAGAATTCTGACTTTTTTCTCAGAATTCTGACTTTAATCTCAGAATTCTGACTTTTTTCTCAGAATTCTGACTTTAATCTCAGAATTTTGGATCTTAATGAGACGGGCACCATGAAGGAAGGGATGCGAGACCACTCAGCTTCACTGACAAAGATGTGAGTTGTTTGAGTGGGCCAGTGACACATTGGAGGAAAATGACGGATTTAGGCAACTTTTTAAATGCCCAAGGGGTCCCCGCATTAAAAGAGGAATAGAAGGTCATTAAAACAAGAGAGCTAGTCTCTAAAACAGACATGGTTATGGCTTGATGCTAACATGTTTGTTATCTGTCAGAATTCTGAGATTAAAGTTGTAATTTTTATGTATGTAAAATTACTTTGTAGTCATTTTACAATAATGTAATTTTTATTGTAAAATGACTACAAAGGAAAATGATCAGAACGTGAAAAAGTTAAATATACATTAACTTTAAACTTTACATTTACATCCTATCAAAATAATAACAGCTTATTTAAAACATAAAACAGATGTATCTATGTACACATGCATAGAAAACAGGTTTAGGACTGTGAAAATATATCCCTATTAGGTTTCACTATAACTTTAACAGGTCATATTATTTTTATGTTGTTAGTTAGTAGTTATTGTTATCTAAAAAATAACAATTTTAACTAACAAAGACAGTTATTTATTGTAAATATCCTTCTGAACATCTACTAACGTTTAGCTGATGTTACTCCTCTGATGACTGACATTCTCAGCTCTGTCTCTGTGTGTATTCTGGCTTAGTTGTTTGGCCTCTGTGTTATTTACAGACACACAATAGGCTCATTAAATGCTGGATTATTCCTGGTTGATTTTTTCTTGAAAACTAAAAATGATACACAACAAAATAATAAACTTGCAATCATGCTACGTTTCAGACAACACCCAGCTGATATATACATGCTTTGTTTCACTGATTACTGCTGAAAAATGAGGGAGAACATGAAGATGATTTATTTTACTGCTTTATATAATTTCAGATTTTTTTATATAATTTTCATTTTATATTTCAAAAATACAGCAGGACTAATCTTTTCATCTTCTTTGGGCCACCCTTCAGTAAAGAGCCCTTATGGTTATCCTAATCGTCCTTTAAAGTGGTCTAAACATTAGAAGAATTCCCAGATTAGCAGCTGGATTATAACCAGATTGTAAATTGAGCTTCAGAATTCTAAACAAAGACTCCACTGTCCTTTACTGATGTCCATTTTTGTAAAACGTCCTTGCAATCCTTTTCAAGAAGTAATGTATGGATTTTATTTAGAAAAAATGTCAAGATTTGGTTTAGGATAGCTGACCCAAAGCAGAGGCAGGAAGGCAGAGGTGGTGAATAGAAGGTTGATTTAATGATGAATTGCTGAAAAAACAAAGTCCAAACAAACAGGCAACCAAAAATCCAAAATCCCAAAAATGAAAACAAAGTTCAAAAAACAAAACAAGAAACCAGGAGTCCAAAATTCAAAGATAAAAAAAAAACAAACAAGAAAACTCATCAGGGGAAGAACTGTAACCAGGAGGAAGGCTCAGAGAGACGAGTTGGAGGAAGACAGACGAGGTTAGACGAGGACCCAGCAAAGAGGAACTGAAAAGAGAGGGTTTTTAAAGGAGACTGAGACAAAGAGATGGCTAATGAGAAGATTGGGAACCAGTGAGGACAGAGCAGAAACAAAACAGGAGCTAGGGAGAAAGGAGAACACAAGAGGGCAGCAGAGGGCAACAAATGAAAAAACCTGGAAGACTGGAAATAACTAGAGAACACAACAAAATAATAATTAAACCACTAGGACTATAAAACATGGAGAAAAGTAAAACTAAACACTCAAAAGAAAACATAACAGAACCAAGACTAGGACAGTAACTGAGAAAAAAAACAAAAAAAAAAACAACTAAAGAACACAATAAACTAAGAATTAAACCATAAAAACTAGGAAACAAGGAGAAAAGCAAAACTGGATACTCAAAAGAAAAACAGAAACCTAACAAGAACTTGCAGGGTGGTCCAAAATATGAATATTAGTCACCTTTCAGATGGTTTCTGATGATTTCTGAAACACAGCTTTAACAGGGGGAATAACAACATCCCAGCACAGCTAGCCACACATTAATGCCTCTGCACAACCTAGAACTTCATTGTTGGTTAAAGTAGAAAGCTCTCAGATCTTTCAATGTGCTGCATGGCAAAAATATTGCACTATTACACATATTGTAATGTTTGTGTGCAAATATTAATTTTATGTGCTGACCCAAAGGTAAAAGTCTAAACGTTTGGATTTGTGCGGTTAGCAGAGATGTCCGCAGCCCTTTCCTCATCCTAAACATGTACAAGTTCTATGGAGGGACGGTCAGACTGAATAATGGGACCCTGACCTGAACTGGTGATATAACCATGCATAGTTTTATCCTAATTAAGTAGAATTAAATGTTCTAATGCCTTCATTTATTCATCACCCTAAAAATATGTGATTAAAACACTGTGCAGAACATTTGAACAGGTTTGTTCTTGTGTGTTATGGCAACATTATGAGACCAGCTGTGCCCTGAGTACAAAGAGAAGTTAATTTCCCTTCCAGCGCTCCTCTCAGGGTGGAGTAATGACAGGACCACTGTGCTGTGGACAGAGATGCACAATGCTGCTTTTCATTAACAAAGTGTTGATGAGCTCCACCTGAACAAAATAGTCAAACTTATTAACCTGAGATTAATGCCCTGCCATGTTAGTATTGATCACAAAGGGCAGACATTAAATTGTACTTGTTTTACCTGCCAATGTTATTACTGTAGAAACTGATAAGCTACAGCATAGAACATGTTAAACACGTGTAGAACTAAAGGTTTAAATTATTGTGCATATCTGTTTTATTAGTTGCAGGGGCATGTTCAATTATTTATGTGGTCAATCAGAAGGAAAATTAGTCAAGACAGAGGCCTAATTCTGTTCTCATCTAGTATCTGGTGCGTGTTTGGGCCTGCGCCAAAGCTCAGTGAAACCTGGAATTTTCCTTCAAAGAAAAAGTCGAAGTCAGATTTCAGCTAATAGACAAATATCCTGATTAGAATTAGATGTATTTGTGCTCAGAAGTTTTAACACCTGTAAATGTGTTTGGACAATTTGAATACTCAGATAGAGACATGATTTATTTTGCAGTACATTTATTACACAATAAAACTTGATATTTCAGTTACAACTCGGAGTAGAGACGGTGGACCCAGGACTTTGTGGACTGGTGCCAGCAGAACCACCTTTTGATTAACGCAGGAAAAACCAAGAAGCTAATGGTGGACTTTCGCAGAAGAAGATCCACCCCACTGACATTGAGATAGTGGAGTCTTATAAGTACCTAGATGTTTATTTGAATAACAAACTGGACTGGACTCACAACACTGAGGCTCTGTATAAGAAAGGTCAGAGCAGACTGTTCCTGCTGAGAAGATTGAAGCATTTTGGAATGCAGTAGGCGATCCTAAAGATCTTCTATGACTCTGTTGTAGCATCAGCCATCTTCTATGGAAGTGTCTGTTAGAGCAGTGGCTTATCTGTAGCTGAGAGAAAGCGGCTGGATAAGCTGATCAGGAAGGCCAGCTCTGTGATTGGATGCCCTCTGATCTCAGTGCAGGAGGTGGGAAACAAAAGGATCATAACTAAATTAACATTTCTCTTGGATAATGTTTCCCACCCCATGCATGAAGCTGTTGCTGAACTGAAAAACTCCCTCAGTGACAGACTGCTGCACCCTGAATGCACCAGGGGGTGTTATCACAGATCCCTCCTCCCAACAGCTGTAAGACTCTATAACCACCAATGTTCCCAACAACCTCAATACGTTGTTACATTCATGCTGATTTTTGCACAGTGCAACTTAGTCAGTTAAATAACATGCTGCTGTCATTTTTTTGTACATCTCTGGGGTTGCTGCTATTTTTCACATACACATTACTGCAAAAATGGCAGCTGTTATAGATTTTTTATTCTCCAGTTACAGAGTATGTATATCGTAAAAATACTGTACAGTACATTGCTTTTTTGTTTTATTTTACTATGTATTATTTTTATACACTTTTCTAAGGTGCACATTGTGTGACTACTTCTACTATAGCCTTTTGCTGCTGTAACACCACAATTTCCCCATTGTGGGACAATAAAGGGATATATTATTCTATTCTACAAATAGAAGAAATATCATAATATAAATGTGAAGAGGAGAAGCTTTCATCTCCTTTTTATTTTTACCTGCTTATGCTCTTAGTCTCTTTGGGTTCTTTTTTTTTTTTTTGTTTTTTTAAGAAAAACTTTAAAAAAGTGATGGAGAGGCAGAGAGAGGAATCCGGGGATGGGGAGTGATGAGATAATTAACAGGTTAATATTTTTTACTTATTCATTTATGTAACAGAATGCTTTTGTTAGATGTATTATATAAAGTTTTTTTTTTTTTTTTTTTTTTTTTTATTGCACCTGACTTCACACCCCTTCGAAACCATGAGGTTATAGTCAAACATACGGATGGTGCCAGCAAAGAGCTGTGGTGATACAGCCCGAGATATAGTGTAATGTTCTATTATGAGAACACAATTATAAATTAAAAATCAATATCCAGACATAACTTGACCCAATTAAGTTCTCCTGACAAATTAAAGATTTGTATTGACTGAAAATTTTATCTGATGGGACAACTTT